TATGCAACCCCTTGTCGCGACATTTCTAAACACAACTACTATTTTACCATCTGCAAACCATACTTTACAAGGTTACTGTCTAGGAAATGCTTTAAAATTAAGCTGCAATAAAATCCGCATGGTTAATCGGCTTGGAGTCTCTTAAAGTTAATGCCAGTTATGAAAGACAAATAAGTTTTCTATGCAGTTAAGATGATATGGTTGTATAGAGGGTTCCGCGACTTGCACTAAAAATAGCAATATTACCTACATTACTGTACAATCCGGTTTTACAGGGTGTTGCAGGCAGGTTTACCATTGTGGGTTTTAGGTGCTAGAGTTCAATGAGGCTGCCATGCACACAGTCGGCAGATTCGTAGATTGAGCAGATCAGAAGATTGCACGCAACACATGTTCATACATAGACTTGAGTTTGTTTACATCGTGGGAGTTCAGAAATTTCACCAATTTTACTGCATCTACTCTAGCTATCAAACGCAGCTTTTTTATAATAGCTAGTGTATGCACGTTTGTTGACTGTCTGAAGTGTACGTAGTATGGATAAGTACTTTGATTCACTAGACAACGTAGCCAAAGCAGGCTATCTCGAGAAAATTGCGTGCATTGGGAATCGCGACCTGTACCAAATAGACAATGCCGAATGGAGTGAGGACCACAATGTGTTCCCATCACACACCTATTTGGATCTCATGAACTACCTAACGTTTTAGCCGAGTCCATTTTATACTCTCAAGGACTTTCAGAACTACAAAAGCCTGGATGCCTACGATCGACTGGTCTGTGGTTGGGTGAGAGCTGTATCTGTCTACATCTATGATCTGAACAATGAGTGCCCCATCTACGTTATCCCAGCACGTGTTATGCACTCCCAGTCTCTGAATATACCGTCTCTCCATCCGTGGGTTATGAGGAGAGAAAATGGAACAGTCATGTCAGCGCACTGTATTAAATTGTAAAGCCGGGCTTGGTGAATCTTGTTCACACGTTGCCTCGGTGCTATTCTACGTAGAGTATGCTGCACGTGCAAGGGAAGCCACCACACCCACTCAAACAGCTGCCTACAGCTGGATGCCGGCGATATATGTATATAAGTGTAAATGTGTATAGCGGCGTGCGCCGTGCGTGCGGTGTACCTGTGTGTTGCAGAGGAGCATTTGACCGGCATTTACAGGTAATTATCGGCAATACTAGGCGAAAGAGAGTAGAGAAACATTAAGACATTGGTAGTAAATACATTTTGTGTTTATTCAGCATTGCTTTTTTATTGAAAATGCTCCAAGCGTCTGTGGTCCGCCTGGTCTCTCGTCACTTTACCTTGTGTTGTGATCACGCTAGGCAGCCTAAAAAAGCTATGTGGCTCTCTCTGATACCGATTGCTGCAGTTGACAATACCGCAGGAGAGCGGAGTTGTGATGGATTTGCTTAATAGGCGAATAAAATTAGCAGAGGTGCGTTGCTCAATGTACTTGTACCATGCTTGAACTGGTTTCTGGAACCGTAATGGCCGGCGGCATTGCATTGTGGGTAATTTGAAAAATTGCGGAACTCTCTATAGCCAAGGTTCTGGTTGTATTATTCAGTTTATGGTGGATGCAAACCCACGACTTTTAAGTTATAGCTAACGCTATGTCTTTATGTTGTTGTAGATTACATGTTCATTTTGTTAGATGGTTGGTTTTGAAAAAGGAAGCTGTTTTTGATTATTCTGTGTTTTTATTATTGCAGCATTGCACGGGTTACCGGTGGAACGCTGGAAAGCTGTTCCTCTACTACACCGCGTGTTTCATCACCCTTGGCATCCTGGTTCTGGTCATGCACTGGAAGCCTGATTGGAAATTGGTGTTGACCCAGTCACCATGTAAACTTGAAAAAGCTAACACGGTCTTGCTCAAGGTAACACAATCCAGAAGAAACGTTGATTAATATCGTGAGACAGTTGACAGACGTGAGAAGTGAAAAAACATGTTTTTTCGTTCTTCAAAAATGGTTACTATGGCTATGTACCGGTTTTGTGATGATGGTACCTGCACAGTATTAGTATAAACTGTCACGTGTTCTCTATATTCCATCTTGCAGGATTGCTATGACAGACTCCATGTCTCACATGTACGGAAAGTACCTCCAGAAGAAGGATTGTGAGTTCATGCAATCAATGTTATTGAATATTTACTGCTCATAGTCTGACATTTCATTGCGTTTTACTAATAATAATTGAAATGATATAACTGATACATGCCATAAATGCATTGTGCTTTTATGCATAACTTTTTTCTAAGTGCTACAGACTTTTTTAACCAAAATGTTCTTTGAAGTTAAATTAATATAGTAAGTGTCAATGAAGCTTTTAAGTTTTGTTAGTCGGTGCCCATGGAGTGCACAATTTATATGGAAATATCGACTTTTTAACTATGATGAACTTAAGCATGAATGGGTTTGCTATATCAGTTTTATTTTTTCTAGACCAAATGAGTACCTGAAACCAGATTGTAGAGAGAATGGTTATGGGTCTGGTGCAGAATGTGATGACAGTTTTCTTAACAAACAAGATGTATGTATATTTAAACTATAGTGATTAAACGGTTCAAATATTCCAGTTCCTTATAGATGGTCATTATTGTTGTTGAGCTGTTAACATTCTGTGTAAATTCCAAGTGTAATAAAAAGAAAACATTATCATTAGTGCATTTGTAGTTATTTGTATGTGGTTAGAATAGATTGTGATTTATCATTGCAGGCAAGAGTATTTCGATATTTTGTTCATGTGAACTACCGTTACTACTGGAACTATTCCAAGCAGATCTTCATTCCTCTGTGGGGACTGGATGATGAAACACGCTGCATTGACTTGGCTGAAAACTTTAGAGGCTACTCTGCTGAGGAGCAGAATGCGAGGTAGAGTGTGTTAATAGCATGTGAAGAGAAACACGGTGAATGAGCAGGTGCCTATGTATGTTATGTGTATGAGCAGATTTCGTCATGACTAGCAGCGGAGCTATCTAGTACGTGAGCTGGCGAAGGAAGGCTCTACCTTTTGATGACTCAACTGAACATGCAGGGTATATAGGCATGTCTTACACATGGGGCTTGAAGTTGCTGCTTATACCATGCAACTATTGAATTATAATTCTCTGTGGCATTATTAGTAGAAATATCGAGTAAATATAAGTAGATGCCTATTTGTAATTCTCTTGCTGCAGATTGAAAATATTTGGAGAGAACTCAATTGAAATTGAAGTCCCTTCACGTCTACGACTGCTTATTGATGAGGTACAGTGTTCAAATGGTTACTGTCAAAATGTGGCTAACATGTAATTTATGTGATCATTTATGCTAGCGAATCTGCTGCTAACTTGTTATAGGACATGTTTCCGTATTTATTATACCTCCTTTGTATTTCTGCTAGGTGTTAAACCCATTTTACATCTTCCAACTACTCAGCACCATATATTGGTTTGTGGATGAATATACCTCCTATGCATCATGCATAGTTGTTATATCGGCTATATCGTTGGCCATATCCTTGTACGAGACGCGCAAGGTAAGGAGGTGAATGTGTTTGTTTACTTATTGTCATTGTTTCTGAGTACAAGAGTATAGTAGTTCAAATAAATATGTAACACTGATTAATAATCATGAAAACCAAGTTATAGTCTGGATTCTTATAAGTTGTAAGGAATGTGTTTGGGGTGGCATTGATGTTGGGAAATTATTTCAGCAAAGAGTGACATTGAGGGACATGGTGTCCTCCTCAAACTCTACAGAAGTGACAGTAATAAGAGATACAGGTGGTAAGCAAATACACTTTATTTGATTAATGATGTCATCCATGCATGTACCTAATTATTATTGGCAAAATATCTCTGTCATGCAGTGTAACATTTTAATACCTTGTCAGCTAAGTGCTTGTTTACAATTTTAAACACTACTGCAACTGTACATCACATATATATGTTTATATGGACCACCAACTGTAGATCCACAATTATCAACATTGTAGGTGAGGCATTGTGGAAGGGGTACATCAGTCATTGTATGCTTTTAAAAGCATGATTTATAGAATGTTGATTCATTCTGTTTTGCCAAATCTGAATTACCTAGCTATCAGATGTCTCTTGATGAACTCTGATGAAGCATTTGTAAGTTGATGTGTGGTTGTAATCGTATTCAGCAATACGTATGTGTCTTTAGTGTCAAGACAATCTCTTGTTGTTTTTTTCAATAGAATCGGAGACCATTTCTGCTTCACTGCTCGTACCTGGAGATGTAATCGTCATTCCACCCATTGGCTGTATCATGAGTTGCGATGCTGTGCTTACTGCAGGAAATGCCATTGTCAGTGAAGGCATCCTCACTGGTGAGTCTTACAGTACCTATGTTTGTAATGCTAATGTGCAAGTTGAGCATATGTTGTCTTTGTTCCCATGTGTGCTTATAGGTTTACATGTGTGATCTCAGATTCAGGTTCATGCCTTCATTATAATTTCAATTTACTTTTGTTCATGTATTGTCCTTCTGGTTCACCTTTGTCCTTTATTATTCATTAGCCACTTCATGCGCATGTGTATGCCATGATTATTAAGCAAATATTGTTTTCTGTTATCAGGGGAAAGCGTTCCGGTTACCAAGATTCCCATCTCTCATCATGACAACGAGGAGGAGGTTTACCACATAGATTTTCACAGGCGTTTCACTCTGTTTGCTGGCACACATGTCATACAGACACGCTACTATGAGAAAACGGATGTGACAGCTGTTGTTGTTAGGACAGGTAGGGCCACTCGCATGGAGCTTCTTCTATATTTTGGTATCCATACTGTGCCGCCTCCTCACTTTCCTCGTCTTCTTTGACACATTATTGCGTAAGATGAGAGGGGTCCGTGGTGAAATATAAGAACTACTTTTAAAACAGAAAAAAAATTAAGGACTAATGTTACAACGTGTATATTTTATGAGTGCTTTGTTCAGAAAACCTTATAGAACATTGTGTTGATGGTGAATCATATTATAAAGTCTACCCTTTATGTGTTGCACCTGCGATTTATCCTAATCGGGTTCATTCTCGTAGTGCATAAGTCATTTTCCATTTTAAGGGTTTTCCACATTGAAGGGTGAACTTGTGAATGCTATACTCTTCCCAAAGCCGATGGACTTCAAGTTTTACCAAGATGCCTTCAAGTTTGTGCTGGTGATGGCAAGCATTGCAGTGTGTGGCATGGTGTATGGTATATACGCACAAATTATTGATGGGGTAAGAAACTCGACAGTACCTGTTAGATAAACAAGTGTACGCTATAAGTGCTTTTTCTGTAGATAAGTCGAGCCTATTTGACATACACTTGCCGATCCTGACATTTTTTGTAGCATGGAGGATTAAGTAACAATGCAAGCAATGGAAGTGCAAAGAGGTTTTCATATACATTTGCAGCAAGAAACAGAGGAGGTGATTCTGAGAGGCATAGACATCATCACCATCGTAGTTCCTCCCTCGCTGCCTGCAGCCATGACCGTTGGCACAATCTATGCACAGAATCGTCTGAAGCACGCGGGCCTGTTTTGCATATCGCCTCCACGCATCAATGTCAGTGGCAAGCTAAAGCTCTTCTGCTTTGATAAGGTATAACAGGCAGTTTGATCTATGATCAATATAATAATAAGTTACATAGATCTATAAATAACTTTATTGGGCATGATAATTGTGAAACATGTTCATGTCATATGAGATTACACTGGTGTATAAGTTTGTTTTGCAAAATGGTTTTATTGGGCATGCCTGTTTGGATATTAAGGAATATATTAAAAAAATAATGGTTGTCAGAGGTACTATTCTACAAGGTCATGGTAATAGAAGCTATTCATTGCATCCTCAATGTGTGCACAATATTGGTAATTTCAGACTGGAACCCTCACAGAAGAAGGATTGGATCTCTGGGGTGTAGTGCCAGTAGAGGGTGACAGGTATGCAGAATAGTATCCGATTACACAGATTTTTCGTTCATGGTATTAACAACTCGTGGATGTTGTTATATACCATCTGCAATTTCATTTTACGAGCATTCTACCTAAATAATCTGAGCAAGTTGTTCATCTGTTTTGAGGAATTATTATCTCTTGTGTTGATTAGGTTCCAGTCGGTCGTGACAGCTCCGGACGTGCTACCTCGGGGCCCTCTATTAGCGTCAATGGCATCATGCCACTCTCTCACGAAAATAGATGGCGAACTAACAGGTGACCCAATGGATCTGAAAATGTTTGCTGCAACTAAGTGGGTAAGTTTTGTGTTGAACATGCTGTGCATTACAATGTAGAGGCATTATTGCTTTGTGACTGTTTTATTAATGATACAATTAAGCAGCTGTTTCTGTACATTCTTGTATTATATGGTTATATTTAACTGGCTGATATGTAATTATATACTTATTTTTGTAGTTGTGTTTACTTTTTATATTTGAACGATCATATTTAGGTTTATAAATCTATAAAGTAAATGAAGCCTTGGTTATATCATTTTTCTCTAGTTATGTAACATGTACAATGATAGTACAAACTTGTACTTATAATGTTCACCCTAAAGTACTTAAATGCACAAAATTAAAGTTCTAGTTCACACAAATTAGACAATTGAGTGGTTTATGTCCTTATTCCATTCTACCTTGCTTGATTTTGCATGCAAGGATATTTAGGATAAAAATTACAGTCTGTATTATGGATTTGTTCTAAATATATCCATTGCATGTTAAAATCCCTTTTCGCTTTCCGACTTGAACATAACACGTATATTCTAATCTGTTTTAATAAACATGACTTTGGGAATTTTTTGGAGCATTGGGTACTATCAATCTTTCAGTGGTGCAATGCCTTACATGTGTGCAGGGGTAGAAATTGATAAATGGAGCCCAGCAGAATGAAAGAGTCTGCAGTCTGAGGTTTAAAACCAAAGATAAGACTAACAACTAACGCGTGTGCTTATGTGGAATCCTCCGGATTACAAATCTGGGAATGTGACAGTAAAACAGGGCATATGTAACTCTCAACACGTGATAATTTCTACCTTTTTGAATGCATGCAAATAACCTTCCAGTGCAGCACATAAGTAGGTAGAGTGATCTGTTACATATTTTGTATTTGTCAGTACTTTGAATGCACATCCTAATATAATTAACTGTAACCATTTTTAAGAGGCTAATTAACACTTTCTTATGAGAAACCTTGTGGTTCTAATAGAAATATAAGATACCTGCATCAACAGCAGGGAACGCAATGCAGTCTGATACCATTGTCTCAATTCTTTTTATACATTCCACAAAATAATTATTTAAAGTTGCTGGGTCCTTAAGTATGGAGTTAAGTTAAGTTGCTGTGATGTGCACATCAGGTTCAACTAGTACGCTTACATATATATGATGTGTATCTGAGAGACACTGCTAAACCTGTAAATGTGATTTTTTCCGAGCCTTCTGTAGAAATATCAGAACAACTGTTCATGTTGCAAGGGAGCCAATCAGGTGGAGTGTCTCAGTCCAGGGAGTTGATGTTTTTTACCGTGGCATGCAGGAGAATCACATTCTAAGAAGCGATGTCACTTGCTCCCTGTTTTCTTTGATGGATTAAATTGCAACTACAATCCGCTTAAACGAGCTTAAGAGTGCTTAAATGCCTACATGTTTGTGCCTGTTTCAGTTGATAGAGGAGCCTGGGAGTGACACTGCCCAGTACAATACTCTTGTGCCCACCGTGGTGCGACCCCCTGAGTCCCCCTCTGCTGCTGAGCTCGCAGCTGACCCCGAACTCATGCTTTTCCAGGTGATGCGGCATATCTCTAGGCCGTTGTATGTTATGAGGACTACATTAGGTGGGTGGGGGTGGGTAGGGCAGGATGGGAGCAGTTCTGCTTTTTTATTGAGGCGTTTTTGCAATGGATATCACTGTTGCAACTGAGCGGACAGAGAGCTGTGAGAGATTGCCCTATATATCGTTATCCATTATATGCTTCTGGGTAAATTTCTACTAAAAAATAAACCTCTCTGAATGGAGAATTCAAAATCATTCATTTTAGTTGGCGAAGTTTGAGGTTTGCTAGTAATTGGATTAGACACGAGTTCTTAACTATGATTGATGCTATTTTTGATATTTTTAGTAAAGTCTTTTTTGTTGAAATACTAGTAAACAGTATTCCTAATGGCATATCACAGATCAGCATAATTAAATGCAATTACCTTATCCCTCTTATACATTCAGAAGCAAAAGTAATTGCTAATCTCATTAGCAACTATGGACCAGGTAGCAGTTATCACAAATTCACTGCAGTGCTATAATATGCTTTTGGCCATGCTCTTCTTATGTCATGATACCATGAACATATACGCACACACACACACACACACACACACACACACACACACACACACACACACACACACACACACACACTACACACACACACACACACACACACACACACACACACACACACACACACACACACACACACGCGCACGCACTATTGATATGCTCATGATAATACTAGTCATGTGTCTATTACCATACTGAAAACGGACCCTGCTTTGCGGTTATTCTGGCATAACACCACTTAACTCGCACTGAATGCACTGATATTCTATTGGTTATGGTTCTTCTGAAAAGGTTCCTTTCATATTCCACTTTTCTGTTGTCTCCTGCACTTTGTATCCTTTATTTTACACTTTTCACGTGTGCACTGAACCTTACCATGATGTTGCTAGTTTTCTGTGATACTTAACGGTGATAATGTGACAATTTTCTTGGGAAAAAAGGCTTCTTAGCTTCGTTTGCTACTCCAGTGTGGCGACCACTGTTAATTGTTCTAACCAGTGGAGTTGGCTTCCATAGAAACTCAACTTGAATTTCAGGTGCTTTTGGAGGCAGGTCGAGACACGTCGAAATTCAACTTGATCAGTCCAACAATTGTTAAACCTGTCACGAAAGAAACTTATCTTGAAGCTATGAGTCCAGATGAGGTGACATTTATATATGGCATTTTCTCACAGAAGGCATCTTTGATACTGTGCTACTTTCGTGAAGTCTTGAAGATAATATAGGGGTATGGGGAGATGGTAGTATTCAAGCTTGACTTTGACCTCAACTGTGCTCCTGTATGTGTGGGCATGTTACACTCTTTTCATGAAAGTGGATTGCTCATGGGGAAGTATAATTTTAGAACTGTCTTTGCTTTCATACTGTAACTTTCAGTTCTCGTTAATTATTACATTTTGTTCATCGAGTTGTTAGTTTTTTCCTTGTGATTACGTCGTATCTAACTGATATTGAATTTAATAATCACTTAGTAATCACTATGGTTTCAGTCAGAAGCATCATAAAGCTATGTACATGGTGTCATTCCGATGATTCGGATAGGCCGCGATATGAGTATGTAACAGTCTGTATATAATGCCACAGGTGCCCTATGAGATAGGTATTGTGAGGCAATTCCACTTCTCATCCAGCCTGCAAATGATGAGTGTTATAACACGCACACTGGGAAGCCGACATATGGACCTGTATGCAAAAGGTGCTCCTGAGAAACTCATGTCACTGTGCTTAGACAGCTCAGGTAAGCTCAATGCACCTCTGCCTAGGCAGTTCACGTGAAATTATGTGCGTTTGGCAAAATGGCTCATTACCTTCTGCCTAAGGTAAGATTTGTACTTCTGCCAGGACAGGTGCGGTAAGATGAGGTCCCTGTGCTCAGACACTTCAAGTATACTTGTGTCTTTCTATCTAGGCAGTTCAGATATACTGACATTCCTATTCTTAGATAGCTCACGTATCTCATTGCCTCCTGTGACATATTTTAATAGAACTCAGCTTATGCCATAAAAGACACATAAATTATTCTATTATTAATTATTAAATTGCACATATTAAATAAACATGAGAAAATGGATATGAATGGTCTTGCTCATAATACTCATGAGTGTACTTATAAAACTATGTACTAATTAAACTGTTTACTAATAAAACTAGTACCTGCTGGTTTGTGTTTAGTAATATCAATATTGGTGGATGCAGGCATCATAAATCTGATATTGTATTACTGCAGTTCCGGATGACTTCCATGAAGTTTTAGAGCGCTTCACCATCCAGGGATTCAGAGTGATTGCTCTCGCTCACAAGAAGCTAAAAAAGCTGCAATGGCATCAAGCACAACGCGCTAAGAGGTATTTCCGGCATGTTTTCATATAACCAAAAAATATCCAACGAATTATGTTGTACATTGTAAATCCCATTAACATTCCCATCAGCTGCATCCACACAATATACACGTGCGCTTTTATATTGTATAACAGCATAAATTCTTAGTAATTCTCAAGCTGTTGTAATAAGTATTATATCTGCTAATAGATAAAACTATTTTAATTCATATTTTATTTGTGTGCTTCATTTGAGGCGTCATTGCTTTAATTGGTCATTGCCGTCATACAGGGGTGAACTGGAGCGTGAGCTAAGTTTCCTCGGCCTACTCGTGATGCAAAACACACTGAAGCCAGAGACGACGCCTGTCATAAGTGAGCTGCGTAAAGCTGTCATCCGCACTGTGATGCTCACCGGTGACAACATGCACACAGCTATATCTGTCGCTAGGTGAGCACGTACCAATAATAATGCTGCCAACCTTGCTGCCAACCTTCCTCTGCTGTGGTAGAATACATACATTTTGCTAGGCTACAACCTGTTCAGTGGGACTTTGCAGCACGGTATGCCATCTCCATGCTCTGTAGTGAGCCTCTGCATAATTCTCGCTTGCTTTGCTCATCTCGCGATTTGCCTCTCTTACTGTTTGTTTAAGTTTGTTTTATTGAATTGTAGCCCCTTCCCTCTCTTTTATCGCCTCTCCGTCCTGCCATCGTCCTTTGTGATGATTCTAATGATCTCTATTCGTCCTCAATATACGGTGATTTCCGTGTCCACGTGTGGTTTCTTCATGATGTTGGTTTATTATGCAGGGACTGTGGCATGGTTGAACCGGAGCACTATGTCATCATGGCAGTGGCATCACCACCAGAGGAGAACAAACCTGCCAGCATTCACTGGGAGTATGCTATTACACCGACTGCCGAACTCTCGGACAGTGAAAGTAGTGACACTTTTGTTGCGGAGAAAGAAAAACTGCACAATGTAAGTTTTGCTCATATGCCAGGACTGCTCACTAGTTCATGTGAGTGTAGTGAATAGTTGCCAATTTATCTACTTGTTATAGTGGATTATGGTAAATTAATTGTTAGAAGCTAAATATGCATGAATTTTCAAAAAGAACATGATACTTTGATGTGAAACTGTGGATTCCATTACAAATTACATTATAGAGCAGTTACTTAGAGTTACTTAGTTATTATTTGGTTGTTGACCCTCATGGTGATCTGTAGAAGTCATATTTTGCTTGATGTATTAGCTACTTTGTTGTTGTTCCTCATCTGTTCTCATCATAATGTACTTAGTGTATTAGCTATATCGTTATTGACTTGTTATTGACTTGCATTGTGATCTGTTTTAGTCATACCAGGAGATAGTTCTAGAACAGGTGATTGCACCTTGCTATCACATCGCTATAAACGGCAGGTCATGGACAATCATTCGTGAACATTTCCCAGAGCTAATCCCTAAGGTAACAGTTATACCTAAAGCTAAAATAAGTGAATTATCTGCATAACTCCTTGTTAATTTCAGAAAGTCTGCATTCTAGTCAATTCCACAACTGCAGCGATTTCACTGAAAAACTGTGAACTAATTATAACGGTTACAACCAAGGCAGGATATGCGAGCTGCATACTGCGAGTTATTACTACAATGTTTGTTGCAAGAGTAAGAAAAATGCTTGTGTTTGTCACAGGTGGTGATGAAGGGAACTGTATTTGCACGCATGTCTCCGGAACAGAAGGTGCAGGTTGTGGAAGAGTTACAAGATCTAGGGTGAGATATCATGTTCTCTCGGTCGCATTTAGATAGCGAACTGGAACAAAAATGTGCTGGATGCACAAGATACCTCTTAAGCATATGTGCAGTATATTATGCCAAGTCTCCTAGACCATATGTGTGATGCTTTATCTATAATAACTCTATAGGGATTTTTATGCTGTTACGTCTTTGGTCTATCATACCTTCAGGCTATCATACCCCCAGTCTATCATATTATCAATATCCCATACTTCTGCTGCTGGCAATAGCATTTGCAGTGAATGTCTTGTTTGTAGATATATAGTTGGCATGTGTGGGGATGGAGCCAACGATTGTGGAGCGCTTAAGACCGCGCATGCTGGCATCTCCCTGTCAGAAGCAGAGGCATCCGTTGCCAGCCCCTTTACATCCAAGGTGCCGAACATCACCTGTGTGCCCATCTTGATGAGGTACGGTCATATAGATCATGTTCCCCACCAACAATAGCGACATGATCACAATCACGTACTTAGTGATTCCGTTAAACAATCACAATTTTTGTGGCAAAGTCGTCCTAGACAGCCTACAATATATAATTTTATTATAGACAATATAATATCTTTTATATTTTCCATAGAGAGGGGAGATGTGCATTAGTGACTTCATTTGGAGTCTTCAAGTACATGGCCTTATACAGCATGATCCAGTTCATATCCGTGTTAATACTCTATGCAGTAAGTATTTAGTATTTATCATACAGTATTAATCAAACAATTCATTATAATATAACAAAATAGGCTCAGGCTAATTATTTTTGATCAGTTTTGGCATTTCGCAGTCATACCCCCTAGTATTATTTAATCCTGATTTGGACCAAAGAAAATCGGTGCTGCCCTCACAACCGTGCAATAATTGCATAATATATCGCAAGCCGATAAACTACATACATAGAAAACGCTGTCATAATATTTCTTGCCATTTCAGTACAATACTAACTTTGGAGATATGGAGTTCCTGTATATAGATCTGGTGATCACGACAACCGTGGCTGTATTTAGTGAGTGGCGTATTCTCACAATGTTATAAACTATCGTTATTAACTTGGTAGTGCCCAGTCGTGCACCTGAATTGTTCGTTTGCATACTTGCCCTGTTCTACCCATAATGTCAATAGCATGTAGATTTCATTTCAGTAGGTAACTTTAATCTCAGACGTTATTATAACTAACTCTTCAACACTTTTTTTCTTATAGTGGGCTATACAAAGTCTTACCATAAGCTGGTTGCCAAGCGACCATATGGAAGTCTTGTTGGCATACCTACATTGTTCTCGGTAATATCACAGATAGTGGTCCAGGCAGGTGCACAGATTGGCGTATTACTGTACCTTATATCACGACCAGGGTAAGTTGGCATGCTCAAGCATTACATCCCTCTAACAGGTTTCTTGGTAGATAGATTTTGAAATAAGCTGTTTTTCATAATTTGCGAGTTGTATATTTTTAGCTCATCTGACGTAGTCAGGTGCAGCTTGTAGAATCGCATGATTGTCCGTCCGTCCGTGCGTCCGTCAACAGTTTGGCACAAATCTTAACCGCTCGACGTACGGTCACGATATTCGGGACGTCGTGGGGGATCGTGAAAAGGACTCGGGATGACAAATGTGGGGGTCAAGGGTCAAAGGTCAAGATGTGTAAACGGAGGGGGAATATTTCCCCCTTAACTCAAGGTATAGGAGGAAATACGGAATTGCGGCACAAATCTTAACGGCTCGACCTATGCTCTGTGTATAATATTCGGTGTATAGTGTGATGGGCAGGAAACCCATCACCAGTGTGAAATTGAAGGTCACAGGTCAAAGGGCAGTGGGGAAAGGTCAGATATCAGACATTTTTTGAGGACATGGCCTAATGGACAGAGTGAAAAACTTTTTTGTTTCAGCGCTGACCTACCATTTTTATCACTTTACTAAAAGGACCATGAAATGTGCTTTCCACTGACATGCGAAGAGTAAGTGTCTGATAACCTTTTGAGCCTCAAGAGGAGGGTTAAACATGGATTCCTGAACTGCCTCAATTATGTCACAGTGTTCTCATTCATGGCACATCCATAATCTTGAAAGCCAATATGCTCTGATAGCTCAACGGGTACAGCAGAGGATTATAGCTCAAAGGTCCTTGGATTGAATCCCATCAGATTTTTTATTATTTACCTGTTTTCTGTATTTTTCTATCTTTATCCATTTAACTATTTTTTTCCAATTAACGCAAATATTTACATGATTTATTTACAACAATTTAATAACAACAAATAATTTTTACATCAATTAATTATTATTTTTTTAATAGGGTTAGGGTTAGGGTCACAATGCACCATAAAACAGGAGTTTCAGGCACGCGATTTGTATCAACCAATGTTATTTGGGAGGTATGCAGAATGCAGAAGGTTGCTGAAATGATGTGTACGAAACTGCGTATCTGCATATCTGCACCTAACAAAGGTGTTACTACTCGCGACTTAAATGTTACGTTTATAACCGTAGCAACAGACCTCAGATGAGCCCAGATGCTCTGCGGCTCTTGTTAATAGTGTGGATGTTTGGTATAAATAAATAGATACAAGAAATTAGATGGTCCTTCCTGACTTTCAGTGTGATTTGAAATTAATCTTTGGTTATCATGTTTGCAGAATTACGCGTGATCCTGTTCCAAAGGGCGAGTTTGACCCAGTCACATGGGAATCTACTGCTATATTCACGGTGTCTAGCTTCCAGTACATCTTTTTGGCAGCACTTTTTTCCAAAGGTCCTCCGTTCAGAAAGCCTTTCTACACGAACTGTGAGTAATAAACAAACAAACAATAAATAACATGCCACGTTGTCATTATTGCTATTTCATACTTGACCGACACTATTGTGTAATATCTTTTTAATACGCTGATATGTTGCTAAACATCTGCAATCCACTATATATTATTATAGTAATATACACACGCCCAGTGCACCAAGGCATTGCACTTATCAACTATTAAATTATTTTACTGTTTGCAGATCTGTTGTTGGCCTGCCTTCTACTTCTGGGCAGCTTCAGTCTGGTCGTTTTGATCTGGCCTGTAGAGAAAATTTCTGACTTCATGGAGGTAAATGAGAAATTATATTTTCAGCCCCCCCCCCCCTAACTTGATAACTGGTGATTTGGCAAGTAGGCAATGAGGAGCAGAGTACTTACGTGTAGATAAAGTGGTTATTTTGGAGAGCAGCGAGACAGTCTGTTGTGAGCCTAAGACGCATGTTGCCGCAGAGATAGTGCTAGCCATTTGAGGTCCGTGTCAATGCAGAGACAATGTGAGCTACGTGAGTCATGACACAGCATAGACAGTGTAAGCTACATGAGGCGTGTGTCGCCGCATAGACAGTGTAAGCTACGTGAGGCGTGTGTCGCCGCATAGACAGTGTAAGCTACATGAGGCGTGTGTCGCTGCATAGACAGTGTAAGCTACATGAGGCGTGTGTCGCCACATAGCCAGTGTGAGCTACGTGAGGCATATGTCGCCATAGAGTCGATGTAATTTAGTCGGCGGTGATAGAATGTACACTGACCGTAATTTGCAACTGTATATTATTTGTCAAAGTGTTAATGCAGTGAGTATTAAAATTTTATTAGTAGTTTTTGTGCTTCATATGCATCGCTTCCTTGATTTGTATGCCTAGTTAATGTCTCTCGGCTCTGACCCGGACCTAAATGCTAAGCTAGCGATTCTAACCTAGGAAGGTCTTACTCTGTGTTTTACTTCAAAATCCATTTATGCTAGTTTTCGTCAGTTTATAGTCAATTAAAAACCTATCGCCTATATAGATGATACGTCTACTCGTACTTCAGAACTTATTTATTACGCTAGCCTTAGTCAGTTTATTTATAGGCGATTCAAAAACCATCGTTTATATAGGCGATGCCTCCAGCTGTGTCCAAACTCAAAAAAATATCTCAATGGTACAATGGTTAATAGCGTCTGTGCTGAATAATGTCTCGCTTTGATTTGCTGGTTTACAGCTGTACAGAATACCAGATGAGTTCATGTCGTTCCGCTGGATGATGCTGTGCTTCGTGGTTGGAAACTTCCTCATCTCCTTCATCATTGAGGTACGCATTTGGTATCATGCCGGCTCACGCAAAGCTAACGTAAAAGTCGGCTGCTGATGGCCTGTTTATTCCATTATCTTTTATTTCATTGTGGCTCTTCAACTTTCTTTGATGGATAGGAACGAGTGATTTGTGGTTCTGTGTTAATGCTCAAGTTCTTTCTGTTCTACATCGAGTTCGTTTTTAGCACACCTTGACATCGTCAAGCTGAGCTATTGCCATGGGTCGTCGTCCGTCGTACGTCCATCCGTCCGTCCGTATTTATTTCAAACGCCATCGCTACAAAGCGGGTATAGCGCCATCTAGGGTCACAAATTGTGATTCATTTTGGTTTATAAATTATTATTGCGATATACAGATGGCAATCGTTTCTATAATGTACGTCGATGGTTGCTCAATTAAAACTGACTTCTTCTTACTCACTCATTTGTGTCCCCTTTTTTGTGGTGAGCTACAGTGTCATTGACACTTTTATTATTAGCTCACCTTGACATCGTCAAGCTGAGATATTGCCATGGGTCGTCGTACGTCGTCCGTCCGTCCGTCCGTCAACATTTAGCTTCGGTCAACGATAACTCAGGAACCGTTTGACCCACATGTTTGAAATTGGGCATAGGTGGTACTGCTATGCTCCCATATTAAACGTCTTATTTTGGAGCACGCCAGTCGACGTACTTTCAAGCCACAGCAATTTTTTTGGCAAAAATGGGAATTGCCATTAGTCAGTTCAGGTTCAACGGATTTTGCTCATTTTGGGTATGTGAATGAATAAGGCTAGGGTTTTCATATTTAAAAAAAAATTATGCAAATTAGGTGGTTTGGCAATTATATAGCATATTATATGACACAAACAGTCTTGTGGTGTCACACTCGTCGCGTTCGTTTTACAAGATTTCATTGACAATACCTAATTTGCAAAATTGGTATTTCCTCTCCACCTGCCGCCCATAAAACGTCTATATAGCAGTAAAGTTTTACAAAACATGTTCGGAACGGCAGCATAACCTATTTATTTTCAGACGCCATCGCTACAAAGCGGGTATAGCCGCCATCTACGGTCCCAAATTGCGATTCATTTTGGTTTATAAATTATTATTGCGATATACAGATGGCAATCGTTTCTATAATGTACGTCGATGGTTGCTCAATTAAAACTGACTTCTTCTTACTCACTCATTTGTGTCCTTTTTTGTGGTGAGCTACAGTGTCATTGACACTTTCATTTTTTATATTTTGCCCTTGGCTTATATTTTAGTGTGGACATATGAGTAGGTGTACTAATTCCATGCATATCTTGTATTACCAATATTATATTACAGGTATTCATCATTGATAGCAAACTGCTCAAGAAAATATTCAGGTTGTGCTGTAAGAAGAGACGTCCGAAGAACAGGTACAAGGTTATAGAGCAAGAATTAAATGCATTGCCAGATTGGCCCCCAGTGAACGAAGTTACATATGCTCAGAGCAATGATCAAGATCATACAGCAGATGATAGCATCAGCTGACATAAGCTATTCATCAGAGCTATCTGCTGAGCAAATTACAATGATAATGAGAGGCCTGAAATGCATGCCGTATTGCCAAATTTCAGCAATGAGCAATTAACATCATTCAATGCACTACATGGATTAAACGGGATAAGTCTGGAGATGCACACACACTTATATTTATGTCAACAATAATAGTAATATATTACATATAGTTATATATCAGGCTAATCTAGTATATGTGCGACACAAACACGAGCTATCCACGTGATTGCAGCTGTATTGTCACTGTTGATGTATGTGCAGTGAGGTTGCACCCAATAAGTATGGCTACATGAAAATGGCATTGCCTTGTTTTAAGGTGTTGAGATCAAATGAAAAATGAGGTCTTCGACCATGGCTTTGAATGGACTGATTAACTCATTAAGTACAAAGTACTAGTATTGCAGGTATTTAGAAATAATCCGTACGTAAATGTGTACAGGATTTTTTATTTCATTATGCTGGATATTGTTCTGAAATTTGCTAAAAGATCTGCCCAAATGTTTTAGTATAGAAAGGTTGAACTAATGTTGTAAATAATTGCTTATCAATTTTTGGGTATATATTATATGGCAGGAAGGAAAATAGAAAATGGCTATTTTAGCCTAGAGCCATTTTTTACCTGTGGAAACATTAGTCATGTTAGATGTACACACTGTCAGTGTATTCACGTATACAAAGATTCACAAGTGAAATGTGGCACACCTTCCTAATGTGAATAATGGGACCATGTCCTTTGCTGGTTATGTAACAAAAACTTTGCATGTTCTCACATGAAGGAATTTAAAGGCGTAAATTATTCTCAGGCTTTTATTTGCAACATCTTTAGCATCATTTCCATGATCCATGTTACATGGAATGTTATATTCAACTTGTCTGTACTTCGTACTTGTAACAGCATGTGCATCTGCTATGTGATTTTAAAAAAGTAATAAATTTATTTATAACCATGTACAAATTTAGATTAAAGCCTATTTTAAATATTGTCTTATCAATTATATCGTCTTATATTGTCTTTAAATATTGTATATTGTATCCAAATATTGCTTAAACAGCTTATAGTTTGTGTCTTCAATTTAATGCCTGTGGTTTTTAGCTCATCTTGACATCGTCAAGCTGAGCTATTGCCATGGGTCGTCGTCCGTCGTACGTCCATCCGTTTATTTTAAAAAAATATGCAAATTAGGTAGGGTTTGGCAATTATATAGCATATAACGCAGATAACAAACAGTCTGTGGTTGCAACTCGTCTGGTTCGTTTTACAAGATTTCATTGACAATATCTTTAATGCAAAATTGGTATTTCCTCTCCACCCTGCCGATAAAACGTCTATATTAGAGTAAAGTTTTACAAAACATGTCGGAACGCAGCATAACCTATTTATTTCGAACGCCATCGCTACAAAGCGGGTATGTGTCCTTTTTTGTGGTGAGCTACAGTGTCATTGACACTTTCATTCAAATATGGTGCCATCATAAAGGTAAAAAGAGCTTGCACCTGCCTATTTATATATAAATAGCACCCACTAATGGTTGAGATTTTTATTAACACTAAGCTTGTGTTGACAAAATTGTAGTCATCCTATTTTAAAAGATTAAATGTATGAATATAATCCAAACACCCTGCCACCACAGACCCACCCACACTACACATAATACACATTACATATATATAATATCACAGCATTTATTCTCTAATCATCAGTTTACAATACAATAGTAGCCCAGGACATATTTGACGGACAATGTAAAGTGGTTCAATGCTTTTATAGACATACAAATAATTAAATACCATTAGCTACAATACAGCCACAATCAATAACAAGCATGACTATTTCAATAAGTTGAGATAAACCGGTTACATGTTCCACTGTAATATCGAATGCATTGCAGCTATCCTGCAAAGCAATCATGCTAAGCAACTAACAGCACCATGTTTCAAGTTGCTTACTGTAAGGAAACCAAACAGAACTTGTTTGTTTACTAATGTGTTTCAATGAAAGATAAGTTCCAGTACCTTTATCTATCAAGTATTAGAAGACATTTTGGACATTTCGTACATAGAAACTCGTATTCATATACAATGATACAAAATATTTGAGGAATAATAATAAAATTGTGATAGTTCAGTGTCCTCAAAAAAAACCACAAAATCAGTCCCCTGCCTGGTCTTTTTCAAAAACTATTTAGATGGACATGAACAGTGACTTTTAGAACCACTATATACTTGGTGTGTAAATTTTGGGAGAAAAATGGGTTTGGCCAGAGTCACATAAAAAAATAATATTAACAATTACCTGCTTAATATAACTGTGCAAGATAATTCAACATAGTTTAGACAAAACCCCAATTCAAAATGAATTTTATTGTAGCTGTAGAAGTGCAACAGATGTCATACAATCCTCGAGGTGACAAAAAGCAATTTAAGTGAACTGATGAGGAAATATAGCCATACACAATTAAATTTAGTGAAATGACGGTGCAGAAAATTATCTGATAAATGTAGTCGAAGAGTAATCCATTGTCTAGTACATGAATAAGACATACCTGTCTTTATTAACATTATACTATGCTATATCTCGTTGGCTGATACAGCACACTCAAACCTACTTGCCATTGCCAGGTGTATTAGGAGGGGGCGCCCCTTGGCTGAACTGCACGGAATAACTGCCAGTATTTGGATCCTTTTCCAGATTAAAGTTGTCTGTCGAGAATCCAAATGGTCGCAAAATCATGTTTCCAAGGTCTTTCAATTTTCCTGGATAATATATTTAGAAAATATTGTAAGTCAGTATACATTGCAGTCAGACAAGCAACTACATAAAAAAAATCCTTGATAACGAGGAAGTAGATGTAAGCCATGAATGTTTATCAACCTAGCTATTGTAAGTACATTGTAAATTGAGTTTGTGTTGAAATTGTTTTGTGAATTTGAGTTAGGTATAGTGTTGAAACAAGAGGATGAATGAATTAGTGCACAGAATTCACAAACGCTGACAAAATCACTGTACGACGAACACACAAACGTACCCATCATCTCCGTTTTTAACTTCTCGTTGCGCTCTTCAATCTCATGAGGCAGCCTCTATAAAGTCAATAAAATATTATATTTCAACTTCAAAAAGTACAATTTTTAAGGCATACTATTTTGAATGGCAGTTTAATATTAGGATATGAGCCAGGGTACATTTACTGAGATGTTATGGCAATGCTCTATTATGAGCAATAATCTTTATTTCCATGCATGTTAAATTTAAAACTACCGGTATCATACCATTTCACACGGGTCTTTTAAATATCAATTCAATATTAGTACAAGAGCCAAGAGATATTGACTGAGATGTTATAACAATGCCCTATTATGAAAAATGATCTTTATCACTATGCGTCTTACATTTAAAACTATCACTGCTTATAGATATATATGCAATTAACTATTGACTCTGAAGAAGAGAGTGTAGTACTAAATATACAGACGCACCAAGCATGCCTCACGAGCTTCCTGGTTTGTGGGATCTAGGTTTACGACCTTCTGATAATCCTCTAGAGCCTCATCCAGTTTCTCCAACAGCTCATATGTTTGTGCTCTTCGTAAAACTGCCTTTAGGTAGTTGGGATTCAATTCCACAGCTGCAACGAAAATGGGCACCATCAACTTTTGTCATGCACAGCTACGTACGCTTATTGTAAGAAGACAACGAATAATTATTTAGTAAGCATTCCTGGGCTACAAGTAAAAAAAAGTTTTAAGCGATAAATGATACTTTCACGTGGATGGAAAAAGGCAGACAAGATAAGAGAAAAGGGCATCTGGTTTTGAAACTACACTGACAGGCACTAACTCAAAATTCACAGTGCTACCTTTACTACAGTCCAGGATTGCCTCTTCCTTTTGCCCGAGCCTAAGGCGCGTAGCAGCACGGTTAGAATACATGATACTCCTGTCTTTGAAAAATGACAATGGGCATATTTGCAGAGCATGTGCATAATTGTCGAATGCCTCTTTGTACTTCTCCTCCTTGAAGCATTTGTTACCCACAGACTTCAGGTCCTGAGACTCCTTTCTGTTTTCCTGGTCATGGAAATACATTATGGTTAAGTTATTACATGTATCCACTATTATATCCATGAATTTACATGACAAAAAATGCAAGGTGCTTGTTATGCTTACACTGTTCCACTTTCAGACCAAAGAACATCAGTATCCAGAGTACATCAACAACAACTGAGAGCAACATATTGTACAGGTTCATACACTACTCCCAGGGCAACTGTATCACAGTCATATTAAACAATATACCACCTCATTGTTGCCTGTTTACATGTGCGTAAATTAAATATCAGGCATAGTAATTCATGCCACGCACTTCCTTTTCTTCTGTGGTCATCTTTTCTTCCAACGCCTTGAGGTAATCTTCATCAATGACAACTTCCTCAATCTCTGTTCTGCTTGGTTCATCTGAATCACTGGATGAGTCAAGATTGCTGTCCTTTTCTCCCTCACTGGCATTTACTACCATAGATTTAAATGCAGCATCACTTTCCTTCTCTTTCCCTGTGTGATGGGAGACTAGTAAAAACACTATATAATGCAAATACATGCAAGAAAACACCATTACACATCACAGAAAGATACATATTCAATCTAACATCTTACACATGACATTATACGATATGGCACACTTGGGCGGCCTTCCCACAACACATAAAAATTTGTACCCCCTCAGGGTTAGGGTTGTAAGATTGTAAACCCTCATCACACAAATTTTACCCAATTAATAACTTTGGTGCCTAATGGCTGCTATTGTACCATAATTTATTAATAATATCAACAAGGACAATCGGTACATGCTTATATATATTGAAACATATGGGAACTAGTTTAAGATGCTTCAAATTACATCAAACAAGTTTCAGGCAGTAATACCTGATACTGCGGTGGTTGCACTGCCAATTTCTGGAACGTCTTCGTTTGCCATCTCAGGTGCACACCCACTCCCTTCCAATGACTGTTCCAGATCCTTGGTCAGATCATCAATGATAGCTTCATTAGTCGGTAGCCCCGCCTTCGTCTCCTCGATCACTTGGCTCATCCTCCTGTTTTAGACCACACCTGCACAAACAACCAAAGTTCCAATCACAATAAATTTATTACAACTTTTCACAAATTTTAATGATTGCTAATTTGCTATATCACTTTCGCATTACCTCTAGGGGAAATGACTTTTAAGATGTTGTATATCTCAATAGCAGATTCCCAGGGATAAACTTTGGCCTCAATCGGATGCAAATTCTTCTGTAAAATCTGCAGTTCTTTCACCAGTTGGTAGCCTACACGTGGAAATATCAGGTCTTGCTCTCTCAATCTAAGTGAAGGACACAGATCGTTCCTTCCGTCACCTACAAATGCAACTGTAGTGAAGGTCACGCCTTCTGTTCTCCTAGCCGCAATGTACTTCTCAAGAATGTCTCCTTTGCACAGGTTCTTACTACTCAGTTCACACCAGTCCTGATGATGGAAAGGTTCTAGGGTGAGCTTTCCTTCTTCTGTGAACTTGGCTGAATTCGTAAACACAGCAGTGATGAAGCCCTTCAGGTTCTTATCTTTTAGGATGTAATCAATGAGAATGGAGTTTGAGTCAGAAATGATGATGCTTTCAAAGTATGGTGGCAGCTGACTGAAAAGTTCATGCATACCATTTGTCAAAGGTATTTCCTCCATGCATTTCTGGATGCTTGTGGGTGTCACTCCGTGCTCAAAAATATAGGCAAACACATGTTTCATAAAGAGTGTCCATCCCGTCTTGGCATTGTAGTAGTCTCTTATGCTCTGTGGCAACTAAGAAACAACAGTGCTTTGAACTATTAGGTAAAAATATACTAGCTTATAAATATTTTATTAATATTTCATATTTATGTATACATTTTGTAATTATTTATCAAATTTGTATTATGTTAGTGCAAGTGATAAATACCCCTCTGTACGTATACGTAGGTAGGTAACTGTACGTAGTACGAGGTATAAATTATGTGATATAATAAAATTAATATTATATTCGGATAGTATTTCTTGTAAAAAAACAGCAGTGATGAATATATGGTGAAGCTCTGAACACACTACTATTTTAATATAACCAACACCATCTGTACCAATTATGAATATTTTACCTTGCCATTTGGTGCCAATTTCTGCACCACAACGTCACTGTTATCTGTGATAATGGTGTGGTCAAAATCAAATGCTAGCAGTATCTTATCTTGCATATATTCCATCAGTGTCACTGTTATACCTGTATACTTGACAGGCACATATTCTGCCTCATCTAAAAATTAAATCATGTACATATTAAATTAAGTTAGCAAAATAACTGCGATCCATAGAAAATGTTCCTATATAATATAAGCTAATGCGAAATTCTATGTGAATTAGGTTTTTCCATTGCCATTGCCTTTGCTTGGCGCAAGTTCCCATGTCATGAGAACCTACACGCATTTGGCATTTGTATTGTATGTTCATACTAGCAGTTTTATATTACTTACTTTAACAAGTTGTATTTCAAAAATACTTGGAACATAAGATAACAAGCGATGCCAATGATCTAGCAAAATCCGCAACAGCAAAAAGTATCCATGTGCAACCAAGTGCTGCCTCCTGTCGGTGACGCCGAATGTGATTGATCGTTAGCGCGCTGAAGTCGGCTATCCATGGCATGTGTTTGTATATAATATGGTGAGAACAATAATCTAATATCAGGAGTGAATAATAATCTATATCTATTATCTATAATAATCTATTATTATTCACTCCTGATAATATAGTGTACATATTACAGATTCTGATACTGTGATACACTAGCTGTAACTGGTTGAGGTGAATATATATGTACCAATATTTACCAGTGATCACTATCGCTACCACTCTTACTCTAGTCTCTAACCCGACCAGGCTGTGTGACTAACGTCAATACACGTATTCTACGGGTATTCTAACCCTAGCAATACCGTTTCCTGGAGCTATCTAGTCTCTAGTCTTAGGTACTTAGTTTGATTTGACCTAGCTCCAAGAAACGGTATTGCTAGGGTTACAATACGTCGTATAGACAATCCGTCGCACAGCCTGGTCGGTCTAGATTTGACCTAATACCTTCACTTCAATACCGTCCAATACACCGCTGCAACACATAGCGCGCACGCCATTGTGCACAACATTTACACAGGCACTTGGCCCGTTTCAATAATAAAATGATGGTTAATAAAATAGTACAACTTGTCAGTACTAGACCTACCAGTAGTGCTGATACTGATAGGGTCTATGTCCCCCAGGGTACTGCCGGAACGTACCCTGGCCCTGGGTGGTATACCGGAACGTACACTACTACTATCTAATATGCCGGACCGTACCTCGCCTACTCCACTAACGAGTCTATAGGGAGTCGCCTACGCCTACTCTCTAACCCTAACCATATCAAATAGTTACCAGGGTACGTTCCGGTATACCGGACCGTACCCAGGGTACGTTCCGGCAGTACCCTGGGGGACATAGACCCTATCAGCACCAGTAGTAGTACCAGTAATAGTCTTAATGTTTGATTTGACCTAATAACTTCACTTCAATACCGTCCAATACACCGCTGCAACACATAGCGCGCACGTACGCCATTGTGCACAAATACACAGTAATATAGAGCTCTTTTTGAGGGTACGGACTCCCTTGTTCAAAAGTTCATTTCTACCCCTGCAAGAGTGAAGAGAGCTCACTACTCAGTCTACTGTAGTAGATTATACTGACTATACTGTGTTGCAGGGCTCGAATTAACCGACGGCCTATCAATCGCCGTACTGCCTCTGAAAATCCAACCCGACCGACGGCAGTCACCTGCCTTGCCCTTTTGTGTAATTGCCGTCGGTGCCCTTTAATCTAGTGCCCTGGTTTCGTTTTTAGTTGAGTCAACATAACACGTGCGTGTGCGATGTTGCAAGACGATGTTGATGTACTAAAAATTTTTGTTATGAGTTTTCCTTTATTTTACAAAAGTGCCTTGGTGCCCTTCTCAAATTTTGAGAGTTGCCTTGGTGCCTTTTAAAATTGCCTCTGTGCCCTTCCATTTTAGAGAAAATTCAAGGCGATTTCTCACATGCCCTAAAAAAATTGCCTTGCCCTCCTCGTCGCTTAATTTGAGCCCTGCTGTGTTGTAACCCAACAAGAGTATAGGGTTTTAATTTTCCACTTGAGTAGTAGTGGTAGTACATAGTGAGTAGACATGCGCTACGTAGTGAGAACCGAGAATGTAACTTGTGAGTTGTGGCCATGACTCGATCATTAGTTCACAACTCGTGTTGGTTTACATGATGCAACGATTGTGTTGTCACATAATTAGGTGCTGGGAATTTCATGAAATCTCACCTGGATTATGGATACATCTCATTCATCTATAAATAAAACGTGATTGATTCGATTCATTGGTCAACTTTTCATTAGAGCAAATATACCTGTGCAAACCAGTCAATTGAAACTCCGGCCCCCTGACCCCCGGGAAAGGCAAGGAATTTAACACTTCCTTAGTGAAAAAAACAGCAATTTCCCCACCCATAAGGGGCAGGTAGTCAGTTAAAAGCCCCTATAACTGAGGATCATTTCTCAGATTCCAAACAAAACTAAATTCTGGTTCAAAAGATGCTTCCTTCTTCAAAGACGTCACCACGTCTGCCATTTGTTCCAGCATGGCAAGACTTGGTTCTAGTGCCCCAACATTAAATCCCTGCGATTATCCCCACTTCCAGTGCGAGCTGTTTATTGTTAAATCGCGGCTAAATGGCCCTGCTGGTAAAACGTCTTGTTAATTTCCCAGCCACCCCGGGCTATCATGTCGTTAAATGCGCGTTAAATCCCAGCTGTGGCAGCGTTAATTCACCGGCCGCCCTGTCGCGGGGTGGTCGGGGTTTCAATTGACTGGTGCATAATAATAAACATGACATTTGAATCTGTTGCTACTTATATACCTGGGAAGCCCTTATACATCTACTTATACCTGGCAAGTGAACCTGAGACCCCTACCCCAACCCCACCTTTTGACCTAACACTAACTGTGGCTCATAGGGTCTATGTCCCCCAGGGTACTGCCGGAACGTACCCTGGGTACGGTCCGGTATACCGGAACGTACCCTGGTAACTATGTGATATGGTTAGGGTTAGGGTTAGAGTTAGGGTTATGGAGTAGGCGTAGGCGACTCCCTAGGCTCGTTAGTGGAGTAGGCGAGGTACGGTCCGGCATATTAGATAGTACCAGGGTACGTTCCGGCAGTACCCTGGGGGACATAGACCCTCTCAGCCTAACTGTGACATAAATCATAATTCTAACCATACATGCAGTTAACAAAAATATGCAGAAGTTGTCAATGCTGGGCTTGGTATAGCTGATATTTTCTGTGATGAGTTATTGTTTAGAGTTCAAAAGAAAGTTTTCTGTATCATCTGATTGCAATTAAATCGAACACTTGATCACTAATGCAGTGCAAACATTTTTCTCCAAAGTTACTTGAAGTTTACTCAAGAAATTGATCGAGAAGTCACATACTTATTTTCTAGATATGGGACAGTTGAAAGAGGTTTCCTGTTTGAATGGTCACACAGACAGAGTGTGGAATGTTTCATGGAATCCAACAGGCACGACTTTAGCTACCTGTGGAGGTGACAAGACAGTAAGACTATGGGGGCAAGAAGGTAAATTTGAACTTTGATCTAGGCAACTTTCAAACGTAATGCATCTTAATGGTATAGCCAGCTATATTCATTAAAAATGTTACATTAGATAGCTGTAGAATTTTCTACAGAATTCTGTGCAAAATTTGTTTATCATTGTGAGAAGCACCTCGATGCAGGCGTTTATTATAGTGGTCTTAGTATTATATTTTATATTTTCTACAGAATTCTGTGCAAAATTTGTTTATCATTGTGAGAAGCACCTCGATGCAGGCGTTTATTATAGTGGTCTTAGTATTATATTTAATATTTTATATTATTTATTTTATACAAGTTGAAAAGCCAAAGAGTGCCAATATTAAGCAGTTAATATTATTATGTATGAGCAAGGGAGAAAATAGAGGAAGAGGGACGAGGTATATGAGGAGGGGAGAAGGTGGTACAGGAGGAAGGAGAGAAGGTAGCGGACGAGGGAAAAGGTAATGGAGGAGGAGGGGGAGAAGGGGAGGAGGTAGAAAAGGGGGACAGGAAGGAGGTAGAAAAAGGGTACAGGAAGGAGGTCGAGGAGGAGGGTAGAAGGTGGTCGAGGAGGAGGGTAGAA